CTGTTTATTCAACTCAATTTGTATTTTTAATTGGACACAGGGACGTATTTAGATAGGGGTCATAGGTCCTGTTGCCCAGAGCGGCACATTTTTAAAGATTTAGAGGGGCGGAAAATTTTTATTTCGTACTTTACACAATGATACAACTTACGCACATGATTTAACAACATGTTTTCTAAATGAGTGTGTACAATTTTAAGGCTATATAAAAAATATTGAAGTTAAGCTTACAACAATACAAATGTTACAGTTTATAAGAGAACATAATTTTACTAGTGTTTATCTTTATACTGGAGTAACTTTACGTATTTCGTTGTGTACACCATCTACAAATTATAGTGCAGAGCGTTCTTTTTCCACACTAAAAATAATAAAAAACTTTTTTTGCTCTACAATGACACAAGACCAGTGCTTGGCTTTAACGGTATTAACAATTGAAACTGAAAGAACCACTTAATTAGATTTTGAAAAAATAATTAATGATTTTGCTAGTTCTGAATCAAGGAAAACAAAGATTTAAATTTTGTATTTATATTGTATATCTACAGTTAATAGAGGTTTTAATAAATAATATTAATTAGTAACAAAATTTTTTTTTTTGACTGGGAGGAGGGGCAAAACATGTGTTGCCCTTGCCCTGAAATTCCTAAATACGCCACTGATTAGACATATATATCACGAGAATCAGAAATTTTATGCTCGCTAATACTATATGAAAAAATCGTCTGTCCGTTTATGTTACCTACTCTATTATTTTTGTCAACACGGCATCCGCTCAGCGTGACCGTATTTCCTAGTGTATTAGGACTTTGTACGCGAAAAATCCATAAACAAGTAAGTCCATAAATTGGACTGCATTATTATTATTCGCAAGCCTTGTACAATGAAATATAAAACGCTGTTGAAATCTCCCCGGGTTATGTTATTTATCGCGACGATAATTATTATAACCGTAAGGTGAACCCGCGGGACTTGTTGATGCACGAGCACCGATTTTTGTATTCTCCGAGGCGGAGGGAGTGTTGTCGTTTCACCGGCGCGCGCGTATGTCGCACACGTGACACGGGACGGAGGTGTTGGCCACGAGGACTGCGGATCCGTACGGTTATCACGCTATTTTTAGCCCGAATGATTTACGGTTTCTTTCACCGAGCACGTCTGTCGACCCGGGTAGAAAAGAAATCGAGACCAGACCGGCAGTCGTGTACCGACCATATTGTACACGTTTGTGTTGACGCGTTAAAAAAAAAAAAAACCATCGATATCCTCCAAATGGCATAAATCGTATCGGTTTTGAAAAACGTCTCGACACCGCAGCGGAAAAAGTCGCGCATCACATTGTTTTCTCGACAGTTCGGGGCGATTGGATTTTACGGCAATCAGATTTCCATGTCCATATCCTTTTTTTTTCAATATTGATTTTTTTACTTTCTGAAATACGCGTCGTTTGCGTAAGTCGATAAACATATAACAATATATATTTTATAAAAAAACCATCATTACATGGTTTTTTATGAGCGCCGAAAGTCGTTCTACATGACCTGACCTAAACCGTAACGAACACGGTAACCGATCTGTACCAGACGCACGTGTATCGCCAAGCGAGGATTACCTCCCAAGCACTCCCCTACGAAATACTTAAACGTTGGGAACGGCCCTGATGCACTTTTCGGGACCGACTTTTGGCAAAATTATTGTTTTTCCCCAGTTATAAACCGCTTATGCGCGCCTGCGTTCGGTTTCGAGTCACGTCGCACACGCGCGCATTGTCCTAGGTTAGTAAATGTGCGTAATTAACATTTTCATAATGGCGCATTATACTACGGTGTACGACGTATAATACCACGCGAGTGAGTGTGTGTGTGTGTGTGTGTGTGTGTGTGTGTGTGTGTACACCTATAGATCGTCACGTATTATATAGGAAGGGGGGATCAATGCTCCGTGTCCCTTATATAGTTTTCGGGAATTAATTCAATCTCCGAAAAAGAGGGCGATTACACTAGGTTGTATACTGCAGGGGCCGTTACGTGCGAACGTATAAACTCCTCTCTTCGTCCCCTAGCCCGGGTCGATTTAACCGACGTGTATTATTATTATTATTATTATTATTATTATCGTTGTCGTCGTCCGTTGTTGTAAAAAGAAATCCATTAATTTTTCGCGGTGCACACGACAAATTTATAAATTATTTCTACATGAGTTGCGCCCATTGCTCACGCTCGTCGATACGTGGTATTCGCAGTTAAATCTACGCGTGCGCGTTCATGGTGTACAATGCGTGGTAATGGTCCTTTGACCGGACTGGTACAGTATTCAGTAATGTAAACGTTGAATGCGTTTAATGCTGGTTCATACCGCGCTCGGTAACCTGCAGTAATATCGCAGTGCATGTTGTGCGTCTAGTCCTTCGGAATTGTTTCGGTTATCCTTTTAAACTTTACACCTCGCACATTATTGATATGCAATCGTTCCGTAATACGTACGGGAATTATTGATACTTTCGTAACGGGGTACATGGTCTTGCGAGTTCGCAGTTAGTGTTCGTTACACGCGCCATCAATACAGAAACCGTGGTGTACGAAAACGATCGGCCCGGTTAATACTATAATTGTTGCGATCAGTTCGGTTTCCGACGAATACCCGTCCTTCCGCCCTTCGTCAGTGGCACAGACTGATTGATTTATTCCCGTCCACACCGGTTCCTGCCATGGCAGCGAAGAACCGCAATAAAAACACACGCACTCGTGCAGTTCGACGGAGCTGTGATGAACCCCACCAACACGTTGGCGCGCGCAACACCTGCGTCAAGGTTTTTTTGAAAAACCGATTACGGATACGGAAATCAGCCGGTCATCATAAATACGTAGAAAGAAAATGATTAATTTTAATGGCGAAAACGGTAAAACGTTATCCGGGGTTCTATTTTTACTTTGAACCGTAATCGGGTAGTGGATTTTAATACAATTCCAGTTCGTTTAGCTAGGCAGTTTTTTGGTTTTTCGAAAACGCGCACGAGACCACAACATTTGCATTTGATACAGATGTAACTGAATGCAAATCGACTTTTCGTGGTTAAAGGAAAATAAAAGAATCCGTACTCAACGTATATTGTGACGAAAGCATCTAACATAGTATAAAATAATCTAAATCAATGTTTAACGATATTTCAACGTTGCACAACATCGGAACGAATAAACAATTACGAAACAATCGATATGATGTTTTTTTGATAGTAAAAAAAAAAAAACGACCTTCGTCGGACAACATCCACTGAACTGTTTATTATTTTTGCGCACGAAACCACCGATTGGTGGATCACCCCCACTTGGCTATTCCCTCCATTTTGTATTTATAATATGCATTTTTTTACACGCAGTTGATTATAAACATTTTATTATTATTAATATTACGACGTGGCATCAGTATTTCATATACGATCGTTAAAAGTATTCGATTTCATTGAATTTTGGTCCTATTTACTTTTGTGCTCGTGACCGTTATAGTATGTCGTGTGCTCAGTCGTCGCGGTACAATAGTATTACAATAAATTGTTGTGACAATCGGCATACTGCTCTGTGTTGGAATTTCATACCGGCCCGACCAGATAATCCTAAACGGAAGAATATAATATATTGGAAGAGACCCTAAAATAGTTAACAATCATTATACATTATTACGAATCCCTCGGCATTCATCCGATATATTGTGTACGTTTAGCGCGGGATTTCGTACGAACGACCGTTTGTTGTTGTCGCACAATAATAAACGTTCTGTTGTATAATTTCACTAATACGTATAGGTAGATACAATATATCATATAGAGTTTGTTGTGTAACGCTTAAACAAGCTTATTGTCGACAGCTGTAAATAGTTAATGGTACGGATTCACCATAAAGATATCGTCGATAAACTATTAAATCACTACGTAATATTTGAATTGTTCAACGAACGGTCTTCGACAAACAATGATGGTCACAACTTTTATTTTTTCTCTTCCCGGTCAAATATTACCCAACATAACGTACCTGTCACCTACCGGCAGGATTAGAAGACCCAGGGTTTTATAAACGGTCGCCAGTGGCCAGGGAAAAAGTTACGGAATCCAAATCCATACATATTTGCGCATGCACGAAATTCAGAACATGTTTATTATATTCACAGTTAGTGTTTTGTTTTGTTATTCAATCAGACAATCACGTGTAAGATATTTTTATGTTTTACGTCAGTACGGATGGAGAATGGTTTCAACACTTTGTTAAATTTACGGTCGTGTACTACCTCCTCACACCAGTCGATGCGGTCCAGGGTAAATTATTTTTCATTATTTGTACTTGGAAGTTAGGAATCAGAAATACATGGTGTAACCAGTTCATTTAAATCGGTCGACTAATTCGAGCTAAATAAACGCTTGGCAAACACACCTGAACGGCGCAAACCAACTTCGTGATACCGGCGATCGTCTTGAAATACATTTTTTGAAACGCAGTGTCATGGTTCATTCAAAATTTGGACAAACGAAGCGGAAACAGTAGACAGATTATCGGGACGTCAATGAATGATACGCAAGGTTTCGTTATGTACAAAAAAAGTATATTTTTTATAGTAAAAATATTTTACAATATAAACTTAACACTACAATTATAATAAGGCACTTAATAAATAATATTATGCCTTTGTATAGACAGGAGTGTAATATTAATCACATAAGTCAACAAGTCATTAAAAAAATATTTCAACTGTTTATATCCCTGTAAACGTGACGGTTTCAAAATGAGCAATTTCAAAAGTCAATAGTCATAGCCTAATCATATAATAATAATAATAATAATAATAATTATAATATGTATTTATTAAATACTTAGGTCGGTAACAATATTTTTAGAAAAGTAAAAAAATTCGTTAAAAAAGTTGTTTGCTAAACTTAATACGTAAAAAATTAATTTAAATTTCATTCATGTAAAAAAATAAGAATATTATAACTAAGAAATTATACATATATATTTTGTAATATATGTGTAAATGGTAAGATTTGGACGCATTTATACAATATATTATATTGAAATCTGTCTAAGACGGTTCTGAATAAGCCAGAAATATGAGTAAAATTAATTTATAATTAAGTCCAACCACAAGAGTTAGTTATATCTACGTTGTAGATATAATTATAACGTACTGGACTAGCTGGCAACTTCTCTAGAACGGAAAAGGGTTTTAAGATCCCACTCAATTCCGTCTTGGACAGTTTTCATCGTAGTTCGAAAAATAATGATGAAAAAAAAGAGAAAAAAGTGTATCTAATTGTAATCAACTTAATAGCGTAATGACTAGACTTTAAATGTACAAACAAAAGTTAACAAAAACATCATAAATATTATTAAGTTATAAAAATTTTTTTTTTTTTTTTGAAACTCGAATACAACAATTCTTAATCATTACAGCATTTGACCACCTCAATAATTATCTGCTTAAAGTGGAAATAACACGTTTAGAAGAAGATTTACCGTGACAAAAACAACGCAGTATTGTCTAATAATAGTAATAATAAAAATAATAATAATAATAATAATAATTGAAACAATAAATGAACCGGCATTCATATATTAATATGTTATCTGATCGTATAGATTGATTTTAAGTATCCACGCGGTACGAATATTTGTTATTAATGATTTAAATAATAATAATAATAATACGCTAGTTAAAATGAAAACTCCCGTATGTCGTTTTTAGGTGTCAGTTTTGATTGTCAGTCAACAGTTGTGAGTAGAAATTGGGTGGCATGCGGAATTGGAGTTCGCCGGGTTCAAGTTTGTACTGTACGTCGGAGAACAGATTGATGTCGGCGGTCGTCAGCAACTGGTGATGGTCGGGTTCAGGCTGTGAAAATAAAAAAAATCTACATTAATATACAATCGAATGGCTACAGAAAACGTCATATAATGATGACAAAGGATTAAAAGGACATGCGTAAAATATTATTTCATCATTATACGCATGGTTTATTTCGTTACATTGAGACTTACGTGATTGTGCACAGGGCTGTTCTGCAGCGAGAGCACGCCTTGCAGTTGGTTTATGTACTCAATAGCTAGTTGTAAGGTTTTTACTTTGCTCATTCTCTTGCTTCTGAAACATTAATAAACGATTGCGATTAATAACGGTTGTTACGCGTTTTCAGAACGTTCAATTGCAATAAAATATGATCCATAAGTATCTCCGAATAATAAGTACTCATACAAGTGTATACACACTTAGGACGAAAAGAATTCGTCCTGAGCTTAAAATCGAAAATTGAAATCGAACACATTCATTTGTATCGTTCGCGTATATTTTCTACAGGTGTGCAGAAAATATTAAACTCAGCGGTCGGTGAAACGGATTAAATCAAAACGCTAAAAGACCGGAGACGGTGGTATACTCTGCCACTAGGTTTTCCTTAATGTATTCACGTGTGCACGCAACGTGTGAGCACGTTTTACGCGTTGTTCACCCCGCGAAAACCGATCGGCAACGAGACGAGCGGTGGCAGTGGGGGTGCGCGTCGCAGACGGATTGAATTGGTCGTGCCACGCGAGACGCGCACAGGAAGCTCCTAACGAGGGTGCCGAAACACATCTGTGCGCCGCGAGGCTGAGCAGGGTAAATGGGCCGAGACAATATTTGGCGAACATGTGACACGTATCAGACCGTGTTCGGTTACCGGTCCCGGGTGCGGGCGCGTAAATCGTGCGCCTGCCACGTGAAACTTCCGTGTGCGCCCCCCCCCCCCCCGCCCACTTCGATCAGATTAAAACATGCACGTACACGACCGGCATAGGAGCAAATAGGGTTTTATCCCCCCCCTGGACCAAGAATTAGCCTCCCCCCGTATATATTCTATGTTATACACTGCATACTGCATACAGCGTACTTAACTCACAACAGTGTCACATACGAAAAAAGACACATTGCAGTAAATCTAACTCGGCTCTGAATCTAAAATATATGAACATGGTATACAAGAGTAGGGGTAATCTACAGGTTATTTTAAGTTTTGGTAGGAGGGCTGTAGCCCCCCCAGATTTTTTACCCTAGTCGCGCCTATGGTCGTACAACGGATTTTTGTTGTGTGCGTTGAAGTCTCCGATGAAAAATAAATTTTTTTGCCGTAATAAGACGATCGCGTGTTTTACTTTTATTAAACATTTTCATGGGAAATTCAAAACGAGAATCTCTTTTATTCTGGGAAAATTTGGACTCGATAAATCAACCCTTTCCCGTGCTTCGACAGGGTTAAACTATGGCCAAAAAGGTTGTATTTTAGTTTTATAATTATTTCAAAAACCAAAACATTTACAAAAAAAAAAAAAAATTGTAAATTATAAATGATGTATGCGTATAAATATATATGCACCATCGCTGTTATAAAGTACGAGCGGCACGTGGCCCGTTGTACGATCGAACGCGTTTTTGCGTATTATCATTACAGCACGAGTTGGCGACGAAGGGGTGAAGAGATTTCGGAATCCACGAGCCTCGGCATCACCCGCGGGTCGACGGAAAACGTGCGTGTACAGTTATCGAAACAGAAAAATATAAAAAAAAAATCAACGAAATCGAGCGAGGCACGCGCCCGACGCGCGTACTCGTCGTGTACGTATGAACCATTAATACACGGACGTCGTAAAGTAGGTGCGATCGCCAATAATAATTGACTGGTGTCGGCGGCGACGGCGGTCCAGAAGCACCTGTTTTTTTTTTTTTTATCCGCGTTTTTTCTTTGGTGGCACACGACTATAAGTGTAAAGATAATAAAAAATGAAAAAGAAAAAAAAAAACCAGTTTGCCGAAAAATTCTACTACGGCGCCGGCGGAGGGCGGAACAACGGCGGCGGAGATGCAATGAAAAGCTGGTCAAAATATTATAACGTGTACGCGCGCGTCCGTCGCCGCGTACCGGTTCCAGCCGAAATGTTTTTTAATCTCTTCCTCTTGCCCGGCCAACGCCTCTTAACGTTATATATATATACGTACATATTATACGGATGAGGCGTGCGGGTAATAATATTAATAACGGTCACCGGCGGCGGAGGAGTAGACACGCGATTAGGTCTCGTGTGTACTACGTATATACGTATACGTACAAACAGGAGGACTAGGACAAGGAAGAAGGAACGAGTCGAACGGCTACCGACGACGGATTCGACGTCGACGACGACAGTGCAGGTGCTTTTTTTCTTCTGTTTTCGGGCGGCTCGTGCCACGGGACACGCCGAGCCGCGCCGCATCACCTGCCCCTACGTCGTCTTCGTAGTTTGACCTCAAGTGCAGCCGAAAATATTACGTTATTTGTATAAAATAGCCACCGCACGCGCATACTAATTATTGCGACCAGTTTTTATTTTTATTATTATTATTTCGTTTTATTATCGGTGGCGGAAGATGGTTCCTTTTTTTATTTTTTATTTTTTGCTCTATTATACATAAAAATATATTTTTGACGACGGAAAAATAGAGACACGAAGATCGGGACAGGAATTTTCAGCAAAACGGTCGAACGCCTGTGTGGGGTCGTTAAATTTGTTTCTGATAATTTGGAGACGGCAATTTACTACAAGCGTTCTGCCGCGAAATCCCACAATTATTCGTGACTACGCACAGGTATTTTATAAAAACGCATTACGGGTTGCAAACGCAGTGCTACCGGCCTATATTCATATAAATGATATATTACAAAAGCGGAACACAAATTTAGGAAGAAATATAGAAAGAATAAAGGAGGGTGTTGGACACATATTTCGATTGCAAAAAATATGATTATGTTCCGGATATCCACCAACTAATTCGTACGAAGCGGTGACGACGATCGTCTTGTGTGGTAGGAAACCTGTCCGTCTTAACCTACAAGGAAACGAACTTCCGAGAATGAAGAGTACCGAGTAGAGGACGTAGAGGATTTATTTTGTTTTTTGTTAAACCGTTGTTTTAGATATAAACTGTTTTGTAGCGACAGCAATAAACGCTCCGTGAAACGATTTTTACAGCCTCTACATACCCTAATAGTACGTGTAATATTATGTATAATCTAAAAATATACTTAAATGTGCGGGAACGGTCGTGGCAGGGTAGATTTAATTTTTAAACAAACATTTCTGTCTACCGCATTATTCAGTGGAGAGGGTTAACGACGACGGTTAAGAGGGCCTTGACAACAAAAATGAGATATTATACATGCTCGTTGTGACGGGAAGATGTTCACTATTACGCTACTAGTTGCCCGTTTCGTATATGGTACTTGAACGACTTATAAGCACTTGACAACTGTCATTGAAACTCAATTAATCATTGTGTCGCATATTGGGGGAGGATAATACATTAATATAACGAACGTTGATTCAGATGCCGATTTTTGTTATTTTAGTTTTATAAACATAATTTAACTCGACCGTTTTGCGACCCACAGTCTGTACTTAAATGTTTGTAAGTTCATTTCTACTAAAATATGCATTCAAATGAATTTATTCTGTACTATGCTACAATGTAAATTAAAAACTCCGGTATATACTTGCTTGACTAACTCATATAAATTGTAAAGATAATATTATTTTAAAAACCGATAGGAAAAGGGTATGTGTATTGTGTTGGCGCAAAATGTCAATGGTTTTTTTCTGATTGATCGATGATTTTATTAGTATTGTAAATCACATCACTAAGGGTGGTATATTCGTATACATTGAAATACATTTCAGAATTAAATTGGAAACTTCAAATAAATGACAAATTTTTTCTTGGATTAATTCTCTGGATAAAAATTCAAAATATAATTAGATAGGAGGAATCGCGAGGGGTAAACGCATAATCGGATATATATGCAATTATATATAATTTACGCAATGGTAATAACTCACTTGTTTTCTTCTAGAGGAACGACTTTGCGGAGTCTGGAGAACGCCCAGTTGACCGCTTGTACTCTGCGTCTTTCGCGGGCGTTCCGCCTGGCGACCACTTGGGCGGGCTTCTGTCCAGCTGGCGTGTCCTTAGATCGGGCCGCGCCTTTTCCCTTGGACGAGCCGGGCTTTTGACCACCACCCGTAGACGTGGAACCCAACGAGGGTCCGGGAGACGAACTGGTTGTACTGCATATGATCGTGTTCTGACTATCTGAATCCGATAGCCAATCGGCCTTGTTGTTGTGCGCGAAGGCTTCTAAAAAAAAAGAAAAAAAAACGTCAAAATAATAATAACATCGCAGATAATAATAACTCGGTTTTTAAAACTCGCTGTAAGCATGTAGTGTATATACAGAGAAAGAGATAAGAGCCGCTATTGTGTCACTACTGCTATCTTTCCCATTTTGTATACGCGGCTTAAGAGCGGCGCAATATATGTATAAATATACCATATATATATATATATCCGTAAACGCTGCATTTGCATACAAACCGACCGATTAAGTGCTCTACTACAGTTGTTGTCGACGTCCCATTAGGAAACCACTACTTCTCCCAACCCACCTTCCACCTTTCTAGAGTACATCTATAACGTACGTGTATACGTTTTTATTTGGTTTTTTATAACGGGGCGAGTAGTCGTCGCCATCGTTGGTGGTTATTTAGTGAGCCCAGAAACAGGAAACGCGCACACGGCCCTTTTGCTGCGTCAAACAATAGGCTCGCACTGCGCATTCTCGTTTTATTCCATTGAAACGGCTCGCAGTGAAATGAAAACTGCATCCGTTGAAGAGTTAAAAAATAAAAATAAAATAAATACGAACGGAAAAAAAATTCCGGTATACAATATATGCGTATTGTAATGAACGCGTATGTATAAAACGGGGCGACGCGTATAATATTATAATCGTCCGTAGCGGGTAGTACGATTTCAGGCGTAACTGGTTTTATAATAATTCATCCAGTCGCGGTTGTTGTTATTATTCGATTGAGTGGTAGTTGCGAAATGATCATTATTTATACAACGTGTAGGTTTGTCAGTTAAAAACATCGCGTGGCAAAAATTATGCATACACATAATTCTAATCACATACACACACATAGAATTAAGACTTGGACAAAAGGGGATGACGGTTTTACATAATACACGCACGACACCGTTCGAAACTCACCCCGTTGTTGGTCGGACAAGTCGCCGCTCGGTGACGACTGCTGCAGCAAAGCACTCAGCCTTTCCATTATTGCAACGTTTTCCACTGCTCAGGTCGCGGAAAAGTTATTTTTCTCACGTTCGCGCACTATTTTCTCTGTCCAATTATACACGTAATAACCGTAGAATAATAAAAGCACGTCGTAATAACTGCAGAGCAAACGTACCGGCGAACAATATGGAGGCCGGTACGAAACTGGATCGGGTACAAGCGAGCGAATAGGTATTTGGGCTGCTCTGAAGAATTCCGAGATCGCATTTTATCGTACAAATATCGCGGGCCAGGTACCTACCTTACGTACCTTTTGTGTTTTTAAACCAGTTTTTTTTTTTGTGCGTTCCACCACCGTCGTACATACGCATATATTGGAAGGTACACTGCCGTACATAGGGATGATGTACTATATGTAAAGCCGCCTAAAGGTCTGGGCGTCGCACAATAGAGAGTACCTATGGATTGGTGTGCGTGCGTGTGCGCGCGCGAGTGTGTGTGTGTGTGTGTGTGTGTGTTCACGCGATTGCCGCAGGGATTCCGTCCCCATAAAGAGCGTCGGTTAAGTACGATATTTCATCGTATACATAATACACACGCCAGAGGGGTAAATGTAACAAAATTTTAGTTTTTTCCAAACGTGTACCCTTCGCGCAAGGGAATTCGAGATGGGCAGAAAAAAAAGAAGAGCACACAATAGACACACAAACGACCAAGCACCCCGATTACGCAACACCGACGTGCCATACCTGCAGCATCACTACCGGAGTTACACGTTTGCGTCGGCCATTATATTCTGTTATGGGCAGTAACTATATATATATATATATATATTTTCTCATTCTCGTGGACCTCACGTGGCTCTGAACACATTATTACGAACTTATAAACGTCCGGAAAAAAAAAAATAATAATAATAATAAATGTGGGCATCTCTCGAAAATAGAAATAAAAGAACTATCATACGACGGGTCAACCCGTCGGAATTCGTGAATTACACCGACGTATACTTGTATTGTACACTCGTTTTCGCCCCGATTTTCGCTCTCACGTAACATTATTATGTACTTATATCATTACGTTCTACTAACTTTTCGGACACATGAGCTGCCGCGTACAACATACAGTGTATATTATAATAATACACGCGCGAGATCAATAGAAACGTGAAAAACAATAGCGTCTAGCGGGTAGACGATTTTTTTCTTCTTTTTCTTCCGACGAAAGGCATAACATAATACATTTTATACATAGTAGATTACTACTCGTTCACGCATTCATACACCTTATGTCGTGGCCATATGACGTATATACGCGTTCGAATTCCTTGGGAACAGACCGCGCGTATACGCGGCCCATATGGTCTCCGTTGCAGCAGTAGACTAGACGCGGACGGTATAACGCGACGCGATGCGCGCAACATATGGTCGCCAAAGACGTTAATGAAAGGCGTTCACCTTTTCCACCCTCTTGATCTGTCTGGTAACGGTAATGTACAGTCAATTTTGCGGACCAACTCGCACATTTGGTCAAAACATACGCACCGTCTAAGTATATCCTATAATAATATATCGGTTTTGCCGGACCTTTTATACGTGTATATATAAACACACACGCACAGACGTGCAGACGTGTAGTATACAATACGTGCGCTATACATAATATTATATTTAAAAACACGTATGGAATACGATGTAGCAATGAGAAAACAAAAACAACAGTTGCACCAGTGGTGGGTGGTGCCACCTGAGCCGAAAAACTGACCAACCGTCAAATTAAATAATTTCACCCGGACCGAAACTACTTCCGGACTCGTTGGATAATCTCGATTTTACGCGCAGAAACCCTGTCGGACATGCATCTCTATCATAAAGCAAACCGCTATAAACCAACTATATACACAGAAGGGTTGTTGCGTAGTAATTGCGTCGCGCACCTGAGCGAATTATATGAATTTTTCACCCCCAAACAACGAGGTCCCTGCATGTGCACTGCACTAATACCGTGGAAAGACTAGAAAAACATTCACGGTCCGTGAAGCACGGTAACAACTCATTTCCTAGTGTGTGAGAACCAAACCGGGGGAAAAAAAAGAACACAAACCTCCGAGTTCCGGTGGTTGAGCGGTTGTCTCGTTATATATTGTGTTGTCGCTAGGCAAAACGGACAAATCTGTAACGAATTTTCGTTTCCCTCCCTCCGCACATAACACTCTCGTTTTATTACATTTTTATTCTACTAAAATGTATATACACTAGTATTATTATAGCGGTAGACGATCCTTACCAGCGTCGGAGCCGGTATTCCACCAGTCTTCTTGTACGTTGCCTTGATCCACTCTGGAACAGAATTGCATGAAGGACGGCATGGTGGATTTGAGTTCTTCGCCAATGCTCATCATTGCATAGCCTTTCGTCAGCAAAACGTGTTCTGCAACGATAAAATAAAAAATAAATAGTACTCAATGGACGAGATCTGACGGGCGAAATATATATCAGCGCGCGGTACACGATGTATTTTTTTTTTTTCATACTGTCGATGCCGCGGCGTACACCCCACACACACAAAGCACGCGGCACCTTGTTTCTAGGGGTTATACATTGTTTCGACCACCTCGCCGGGGCGCCACCGGTTCGGATTATTAATAATTATCGTCTTCAATCCCAATATTTGTACTGATAAACACGCGCGCGATACACGTTGTCGTTTCTTCTATTATATCACTACCACGCGTGCCGGTCGCGCATCTGCTTTTTTGATAAACAAAAATGGAATAATCGCCTGGCTTCGAAGCGCGCCTGTTGCTTTGCGCGCGCTGCAAGCTGTGTATGTGTAAGTCTACCCTCTCGCCGCCCGCACGTGGTTTTACGACGGTCGTACCATAAATCGATTTACTAGTTTTCCGATCAACCCTCGAGCGCACACGACTATAACATAACCCAAACAGTAATGTACATAGTACTGTAATACCTAACCGCGCGCGGCACTATTATAAAATTACATATATATATATATACACAGATATTTTCCTCGAAACACGCACGTACTATTTTATACGTATGTAAGATCTATATGGATTATATATATATTATAAAACACACCACTATTGCTGTGCGTCCGATAGTATATGTATTAACGTGTGTACGTCTTATCGCAAACCAAACAATTTGTCTCCGCGCGACGGAGTACTGGTTATACGTATACATATGTACGGTTTATTTAAAAAAATAAAAACCAATTGCCCAGTATACGTTATAAAAAATATGACAACTGGTTTGACAAGCTTTAGAAAAAAAACAAAAAAAGTTAATCATAAAGTTTTCGATCAATCTCCGTGCGCGTCGTATTTAAAACTTGACATTTTACTTCACGAGTTCGTTCATCGGAACGAACGGTCGTCGATGCGATTACAAATTTCGAAAACACTAATTACACGCGATTAGAACACACGTACACGATGTTCGTTGCTTAGTGACCGCGACGTGTAAATATATTTTCTGGGAAAGTCGACGCGACAACACACCCGATTGTCGCGTTTGATTTCGTCGGAATATCAACGAGACGATGACGGTTCTTTTTTACGAATGCGCAATAATTCGTTTTTCTCTTATTTTTTTCGTACACATATTATTATACATATTACGTAGGAATACGCGGCGGTACTTCGGCGAGTACGGGATTTGTGTGCGCGCCCCTCCGAAACCGGTTCTACGCATTCTACGGGGGGTTGGGCGTGCGTAAAGGGCTTATTATAATAGAGGGTTGGTTTTATATATATATATATATATTTTATTTTTCAGTTTCATGCTCGAGTGCGACCACCATCCACCGCTGCTGTTACCCTCCACCGCGCGCGCCGCTGCTGTTTCTTCGCTCTCTTTCTGTTTTTCTATTGCTCATGCACCAACGGCAGCGCGGAGGTAGAAGTAATATTACGGAAACCGTTTGGGGGAATTCACTAATACACACTCGCACGTCGTGCACATAATACACGCTCGCACTCGTACACTTGCACACACACACACACACACACACACACACACACACACACACACACACTCATACACACATACAAATACGCAAACGCAGACATTGCCGCAACCCCGCGACTCCCGCTTTTTGCAAGGGTGGTAGCTACATCGTTGTTCACGGCTGACAATAATATAATACTTAAACGGTTTGACGATATATACATGATGATTTCGGTTCTCGCACAGGTCTAAACTGCGTGCATTGTAAGTTTAATATATTTTTACGGTCAAAACCGATTTGCTGTATTGATACGATGCGTTAAGCGATGCAATTTCACGCGACAATATAAGATTATCGAGCGTTCGACAATTTTGTCGTTTAAAAAAATTTCGTTTCAGATATGTTATACCGACAATTAACCGGATACGATTTTAAAACGTACGAAACTGTTGTTGAAACTACCATTGGACGTATTTCGAACGGTAAATTCGACTTTTACGTCTGTCCGAAATAAGAAAATCATATCTCTTGGTAACTCTACTTCGTCGGTATGACGTTCGATAAAACCGAATCGTGGCGTGCACGTATATTATTTTTTAGTCGTTACAATTAACGTTATTCGCGCCGCGCGGAGGGGACACGGACATCGTCGTCGTCGTCGTCGTCGTCGTCGTCGACGACAACTGTTGTAGAACGCCAAATAACAATGGTAATCTACATGTTTAGCATAACGACTACCTGCATGGACTTGGAAAAAATGTGTCGACTCGGCGGTAACCCTATTAAAACGAATATATACCGCACATTATTATTACTATTACACTATATTTATATTGTTATTCATAACCGAACGTCTTACGTACCAGCATGAAACGTGCATATCACATATCTGGATCCCGTATCCTAAAATGTTCGCCGAAGGACATGATATATATATATATATATGAGTATGATAAACATTTGTATTTACATTTGTATAAATTTTTTTTTCTTTCTTTCCACGTCGCCGCCGGTTAAGTAGTCATCCCGTCGCGCGATCACATGTCACACACGGTACCGTTGTCGCGCACGCGTTATTAAAATATTTTCTCGGGCCAATAACGTTATTACGTACATGTCGATGTTTGGGCGTGCGCGCGCGCGTGTTCCGTGTACACGTACTGCGTATCATACGGGACGCACACGGGTAATTTACACATAAAGATAAATGCGATCTATAGCGAAATGAAAAAAAAAAAAAAAAAAGAAAAAAAGAAACACACACGTACATATCAAATACATAAATGTTAATGTTAACTACTAGTGATGTGTCTTCTGTTTGGAAGCCGGACCCGCATTGTGCACACAAAGGAACAGCCACTTGCGTACAGACCATCGCGCGCACGCGGCTCACGGCGACACGACAAATTACCCGAACGATTAACAACGCGCCGGGGTAACATGCGGCGATCGTCGCCACCGGAGAGCGAAGTCTCGTTGGGTCTCGTACGCGTTATTGTTATCGTTAGCCGACGCGACTTTGGGCGGACGGGAGAAATGGGAAACCGTCTCGCGCGCATTATTACGCGTCACGCGTACCACGTTGTAGACCCGTACGTGTCCGAGGGTGCACCTATCGAAGGTTTTACGACTGGGAATACGTGTCGCGGTATAAACGCAGCGAGTACATAACATAATTAAAATAATAACATGGAAAAATACGTATTGTCATTGTTTGTACAGACGAAAAGTTAATCGATCCGCGTGTTGCGGTGCAAGTGAATGCAATCCCTGTGAGAGGGGGAGAGGTACTTGTAATACGGTACAGCGAACGTGCAACTCTACATACTCGTCGTAAACGCGCAGATGCAGGGCAGAGCTATAAATTTCGCGTTTTGAAATAAACACCGCATAACGTTATTACAGCGCGTACGCGGTAATACGCTGGTGGTTCGTGACCGCGCATGACATTATTACGTAGGCTCCTGCGCGCAGTACGTGTCCGGTAGGCCCGCATCGGCCTTATACGACTTTTAAATCCGTACCTACGCGGTAAAACGGGCGGACGCGGTACGTTTTGTGCGACAACAATGCGACGCGCACGTACAAGCGTGTACCCTTTTTTCCACGTACCCCTTCCTCGGTCGCTCTTTGTCGTAACAACGCCGGTGGCGTGCTCGCCGTCGGAACACACTACCGGTTAATGGCCAACGAGCCGGACAACCCGTGTGAAGCGGAAATTGAAAAATTGCTTTTCGATGTTCGCTCGCCCCCTTCTCGTGCGCGGGGTCACACGATATACAATTATAACGAGTGGATAGTTCGAGACTACGAAATTGAAAACGAAAACATTAGAAAAAAGGGTTACCGTGTCTTCGACACAACGGTTTTTTCATCGTATTTTCGCGACTACCGTCCCAAATCGTTAACGACCAAGCGTCGTTATATCGACGGGAAAACCGCGCGAACTCGATAAACGGAGGTAAGAATAAAGAAAAAAAAAAAAAAAAAAAAAAAATAAAAATAAAAAGCCTTACCTCAAGTGTTGCGGAAAAAAAAATTCGCCTCTTCGTAGAGAGAGAAAGTGTGTGTGATAGACTGCTGCGGCGGTCCCACGTTGAATTGTATCGCTGGTGATCGACGATGGAAGCCGGGATGGAGCGATAGTGTGTGTGTAGCGTGCGACGGTGATGAGGTACGAAACACGACTGACCGTGGCCAGGGGTGGCAGCGCCGGTGTGCGTGCACGCGGCAGAGGAGAGACGATAGGCCGACCGACGGGGGTGAGCCGCGCGCGCGCGTACACGGGGGGGAAACAGCGTGTCGGCGGCGGCGGCGGCGGCCCTTGTCATCCCCACCGACGTCGGTGGCGCGCGCGCGCTCGCGCGACCGGACACCTGGAGACGCGGCGCGCGGGCTGTACATATCGGAGGCACGCGCCATCCCCACCGCGCGGCATCGGCAAAGAGCGGCTTGGTAAGAGCGAGACGGACCGGACGGCAGTGCTCGTGCGACGGAGAGAGAGTGACGGAGAGAGCGAGCGCGCGCGCGCGCGCGCGTGTGTGAGAAAAAAAACAACCCGATAGACGAGTGTATTTATTACACACGCGCGAGCACTCTACGTAGTTGCTGGCGGCGGGCAGCTCGTGGGAACTTAAAACGCCAACCGGTTTTTTTTTTTTTCCTTCCTTTTTTCGGTCGTTTTTTCGGCGCACTTCGCTCTAGTCGTCGTCGCCGCCGCCGCCGTCATGCCTCCGGTTACCAGACTACCGTCGAAGGCCACCGCCACCGTCTCGGTGTATACGTACGTGTACACCTCCTGTATGTATACCGTCGTCTTGGACCGGCGAAAATCCTTTGTCCTGGGCACGGGCCGCAAGACCAAGAGTATATTTATTATTACTCTGCTCCACATACGTCGTCCGAGAGAAAACGCGTTTCGCCGTTGACGTTCTTCTCGTCAAAGTGTCTCTCTCTTTTCCCCTCGATATTCGGTTCCATCGTCGTGCGGCGGCCTCCTACGCCGCCCAACGATTTATTTCGTGCGAATTTCTTACTCCGTCGTCATCACCTCGGGTCGTTTCAGGGCGGTTTTTTTTTTTTTTGTTTCAATTGCTCTTTTCCCGAAAGTGCAGTAGGCGTCATGAGACCCGAAGCGATTTCTCCTCGTCCGAAAACCATGTCCGTAATCCATTTTTTTCCCCAACAATACAACAATATTATTACTATAAAACGGTACACAGACGTAGTTGTCTTACGCTTCGTGATGATTTCAGAGTTGTACGTGAAACGATATAATATAAAATATGAATCGAAACAGTTGTCAGTCAATTATCGACGATGGACGAGTATAAATCGTTGAGTAATATGGTTGCACGTTATTATTATGGTCGTGACAATCACACATTTATATATGCTTACAACAGTTGTAGTTACTCTATACACTATATTTACTAATGTGTTATCAAGCTATGAATAAATATAAATACAAACCATAAACGTCCGTCCATAGTCCATAGATTTTCATCAGAGGTTCTGTTCATAATCACTTCTGGTGCTTGGTTTTGAAATCATTCAAACGGAACCTGTTTTTGTTTGCCTGTACAACCTCACGCTTGACATGCACTCCTCATGATAAATAGATCATTTTTGGATAAACATTAAATAGATCTTTTTTAGCAACCGTTTAGACCGGTTCTGTAACCAAAAAATTAGATTACAGTTATAAGCCACTTCATGGGTTAAGTCTACTAAAACGTTAAGGTACTAATTTAATTTTCCGAAACTAGTTGAACTGTACTGACAAAAGGATTTTACGAAGTAGATATACAACTATGCAAGATACAACTAATATTATTTTATGTTGGTTATTTGATAAAGATCTTAAAGTGCTTCTATAACAGCTCATTTTTGATCGAAAACAACACATTAGAAATACTAACCCGTACTCTAAAATGCGGAGTTCAACATTAGTACTTGTTGCATCGGTCAGAATAGATTTTTAACCGTCGTAATTAATATTATTTTAAAAACTGTTGCAAAATTTAAAAAATAACAATTTTTCAAATAGATATAAATAATTAATTAAAAATATTTTCTAAATAGGAATTTCTTCTAACCGAACTGTTACATGTGAAATCGTGTCTTGAGGATAACATTTAAAATTAATTTTATTTTCATGGTAGTGACATTGAGCTGTCCTACGAAGACTATAACAACTTATTAATACTAATTTTAATTTACGAGTATAAGTAATAGGTTATTAGAAATTGCCTAAATATTGATCGTTAAATAAAAACTAGTGTAGAAGCCATTGAACATGGTATTTTCACGATTAAAACAATAGATAAGATAAACAATTTTCAATAATTTGCAACTACAAAACACTTATGTACAGCATTAAGATGTAATATAGATATCTAGTATAATATTATGGAAATAATGTTTAAATTTTTAAATGATTCGAATAAAATATATGACAAAATGTTTTTAATAAACTAAGCTTAGTGGTTCCATTAATTAAAGTCAGATTATATTCTTTATATTTCATAATTGGTATGTACGTTTTTAAATTGAAATATTTTAATTTATATATATATTTATATGTATTGAATAAATTAAAGTTTCCCCGATTTCAAATTTATTTTAAATGAACATATAGGTATACATAGGTATACGTCCGTCTTTAAAATTAACATATCTGAACAATTAATCAGTGGAAAGTGAGTCCAAGGTAAATAATGGATTTTTTCTGTTTATAAAAATACAATATTGTATATTAATTTATTCCGATTATAAAATGTATTAATCCGTGAAGTGTACTTTTATGTTAAGCCTGTTAATAAATTAATTAAATAATAAATAACGTATGGCATTTCTATACGTATATAACGAAAGAATATAATAAATAATGGGTATTTTTGTCTATTTGATAATAGTACAACCAATCCTACCATCAAACTATGGATATTTTTGTAAATTATAAAAACAATTCGATTTTATCATTTTTTATTATAGTGTTTGTTTTAAGTTTATATCTCATACGCCGAACTATCTATTTATCGGAGATTGATCTAGCACTTTATACAGCATTGGCTTAGCTTATATTTTATACTTATACTTTTATTTTATACATTAACATTATAATATTTTTTTATAACGCTTTATTGCACAACACACTTTAATTTAGAAACTAGTGAAACTAGTTAAAAAATCGATTCATTGCAGATAATATGTTGATGCGACTTTTTTAAATTTCTTATACACCCATACGATTATTTAATGCACTTCTCCGAATAATAAAAAAAAAACTAAATTACTTAGTGCACGACATCAGTAGCGACAACGCCGACGATTTAATTGGGTCCTCTATCATAAAATTGATTCCATATCTAAATATATTCTGTACGTTTGCAGTAATCCCTTAATGGACAATGGTGAAATAAATGTAGTGTTATAAAATATAACGTTCCACTCACCGGGGTGTAAAAGACCCACATTATTTGGCCGGCATTGTTCAAAAACCGATCTTAAAATCTTAAGTAAATATCTTGGCTCCTGCAGTAGCTTCCCGTCGTGGAACACTTTTGATGCGAACAACGACGCAATCGATCCCATTAACGCCTCAGTATACATCAAAATTGTATTGTTCGATTTTTAGAAAAGGCCAATACAAATAATGACTACAACACGTACGTCAACAAGAGCTCATTGTTTATTGGGCTTTTTTTTTTTTTTTAATGAATCTTCAACAGTGAAATTGATTTTATCTTTTTGGTGGAGAAAAATGTATTCGTTAACCGCCATATTGGATTAAATCGTGAACAACATTTTATACCGCATTATGTCCCACGATATTGAATACGCGGTGTAAAAAATATTGCATCGGTACAATATTGGATACAAGATAAATCATGAAAATAGAGATAGGAAGGGGGTGGTTTCAGATATATATACATTTCTAATTTAAAAACACACCGATTACGATTTACCCTTAAACAAAACGAAAAACCATTTATCGCGTTCGTTGTCAAAACATTTTACACAAACAATTATTTCTCATTACTTCGTATAAAAAAATATTATAGATAGGTACAACATTCATATATTTTATGATGTTCAAAATGCATCTGCCCTGTTTCGGAAGAGTAAAAAAAAAACTACCTCTATATAAAACCTACCAACAACATGAAAAGCCCGGGGGGCGGTGGTTGTGGTTATTTTTTATACGTATATAATATAATATTTAATATACATATATATATTTTTTTATCAAGATAAATGATGATTTAAAATTAGAATATAATTAGAAGATGTATAAATGGTCATCTATATAGTGATGGGTTTTTTTTTTTTTTTTTTTTTTAGTTTAGTTTATTCACCCCGACTAAGACGCGGCCAACCGACCACCCTTAACGCCGGACCCATTTATATTGCTTACTACACGGATAATGGTCGTTGTTTTTATTATTTTTTTTTTTTATTTTTTTTTTTTTTATGAAGTCTTATAAACAAAAAATACACTGACCGCCGTCGCCGACGCCTATTCATTAAACAACGGACTTAATAAAGGCGCGTGCAGGAAATCCTTATAAAATATATGTATGTAGTGACTTGAACGCCCGTCGGCTGTGACAGCGGCAATGATCTGCTACATAACAATATTATAAGAGGGCGAAGATGGACAGGGATAATTTTTATAAATATTATCATAGGTATAACAACGTTATTAACCCGCGCATAATAATATAAATATAACTTACAGCATACTTATATTTAACGGTTGAATCAATTTAAAAAAAAAATCCTTTGGTTTTGGTCAAAAGGAATCTCTTTTATCGCGTGCAATATTACACTGTATTGTTTTTTCAACAACCAAGCGTTAAAGTCACCTCGAAAAACATTTCAGGTACTGAATAACACAAATGGCTAAAATCATGGTCGAACATAGCATGTATTTTGTTTTCAGATTTCCCAGATGATTGAATAGACCTCGTGTATATTGTTATTTCAAATCCTTCAAAACACTGCATATTTTTCATGCTCCTGTGCGTAACTTAAAAACGTAAACGGTATTAGTCATCGTCATATAGGATATATGCATTTAATTAAAGGGTTCTAGTGCATTGTACAGTCTATGTTGTTTTTTCAAACAAAATCATTGTTTTGGGAAAATCATTTTTGTACACGGCCGATACGTATGTACAGATATAATATAGTCCCTTTATAAACGCAAT